GTATTCTAGTTGCTCGAGTAACGTTAGTTGCTCTACAACGAACGTATTCTAGTTGCTCGAGTAACGTTAGTTGCTCTACAACGAACGTACATGTGACAGCCGCAGTCGCGCCACCGCCATGTCATGGCATTGGAACTCCGAGTACGAGCTCTCGGGTTCCAAAGGGAGTTTATATGCGCGGATGCAGCCCGGGCGATGGGGTTCGGCGGTGCCGGCAAACAAAAACTGTTGCGATGTCGTGATGGCCAACGGGCCTACACTCAAAATGTATATCAATTTATATATATACATATTCTTGTCTTCCACGAGATAATATTTCGTATTTGTCGTTGATCTGCACCATAAAATGTAAAACGTAAATATCAAGAGATAATTCCATATAACCTGAAATAAAGTATGCACATCGAATACTTAAATCAAAATGTACAAATATTTAATACTACACGGTGCAAAGGTACGACAAATACGGTAATTGTTATGGCCATACACACACATATATATATCGAGTTCTAGCACTTCATCCTACCGAGTAACACGCCACAATTGTGCTCCACCTGAGGCGTGCCAGCAGCAATGTCGATTTCTTTCAAAGTGCCGTCGGTTCCAGTGGCAAACAGCATGGACGAATCCGATGACAGCGACAGATCGTGGTAATTGCAGCGAGGATGGGTGTGCCCTATTTTTTCCATCGTACAAGGGTGATGAGTTAGCCAATCGATGATACTATATAAGCCAAATCAAAGGAGTCAACTCTGTGCAAATATCATTTTCAGTGACCCCAATGACCAAATTCTTGTTAAATTGGATGGAAACATGTTGCATAATCGACAGCAAATAGTACAAGCCACGGTGGATACACATTAAACAACACGACTTGGACGAAACGAAATACAATGAATTTGTTTTAAACACTGATGACATCTCCCATGAACCAAGTGCATTCGAAACAAAAATTGGAAGAGTGGAATCAATATAGCTTGACCAGTCGGTTACCTTCGCCGACTTTAATGGCCGAGCGTAAATCCCACTGAAAAATCGACCCGTCGGACCCGCAACTCATGAGTTTACGGTCATCAGCTTTCCACAAGAGCGAATTCACTTGGTTTGTGTGTCCTCGGAGCACAGCCATAAGCTCCCCAGAATACGTCCCATACACCTAATAATATACACATTCGTCCAATGATCAAACCATCAAAAAATTATATATAATATACATATCAAATAAACAGTACCTGAATCGTGTTGTTGTTGGCCACGGCAAAGTACTGCCCCCCATGGCTAAAGCGGACTTCGCGGCACGCTTTCACCCCTACCCCCCCACAAAAAAAATCAAAAATAGTGCCCTTTCGCAATACGAATAGTGTCCTTTGAGTGGGAATAGTAACATATATATATGGACGCACCAAACTCCCTGTACGGTCGAATGTCGTCCATGAGGATGTTCAGCATGCGCAGCTTGTCCGTAAAAGCCACCACGACGTGCAGCCCACTGGGATGCAGCGCCACGGCCAGCGCCTCCTCCTTGAAGAACTTCAAAATATCCGTCGACTTGTCGCTGTAGTTCCACACTCGAACCGACTTGTCCACGCCACACGTGACAATCAGAGGCTTGCGAATACACGTGTCGAGGCTACTCACATGCATTGGTCCACGAATATCGTGTATATATTTCTACTTATATATATATGTAGAAATATATAAAATATGTTATATACATAGAAATATATAAAAGATGTTGTATATGTTGAAATATATACAATATGTTGTATATATGTAGAATATATATACATAATATGTCGTATATATGTAGAATATAGATGTAATATGTTATTTATGTAGAATATATATAAAATATGTTATATATGTAGAAATATGTTAAAGATATTACATATGTAGAAATATATATATAAGATATTACATATATAGAAATATATACTGGTAAAATGTTTTATATATGTAGAAACTTCTTATGTCTACATCGAATCTCTTCACACTGAACAGGAAGCTACGAAGACGACATACCCAGTGATGTGCGCGCCGTTTTGCCCCGGCCGGTGAAAGGCAGTGGACACCAGCTCAAAGTTCATCGCGTCTTCCTTGAGGATATCCGTGGAGCTCAGCGTGAGCATATACAACTGGTTGTTTTCCAATGAGCAGATGAGCGTGTCTTCGCTTGGGGAAATGGCCAAGTGCTGAATGCACTGTGGGTTGCCGTCGATAGAAAACACCTTGGTGCGCTTGAAATGTTCCCGAGAGTCGTCGGATTTTTCATAGATGCGCACAACGCCGCCCGATCCCCCGCATACAAATCCTACGTTTATAAGTTGGGTTTGATTGAAGTACATCAAACTAGTACAGTATATGTGTAATGCTGACGCGTTCTGCTACCTTTGGAATACGCCAGCAAAGACGAGCAATACTGGCCATCCGTTGGGGACGACGACAGCACCGTACGAAACTCCATGCTTTCAAACAGCCTAATATAGTTTACGTGTCAGCAACTCGTGATGAGAGAAACCGACTACATGTACACCATGCATAAATAAATACATAAATATATATATATATATATAAATGAAAGGGTAGAAATATGCATAACGAACGCACCATAATTCGCCCGTGATGGTGGCTGCGATGACGCGGTCGTCAGAGAGCCACGTGTGGCATAGAAAGTTGCCAGGTTCGCGTTTGAGGGAGTTGACTTGCTGGCGAAGTTGCCCTACAACGCGAAGAACCGTCGTCGTTAGTACAGGAACACTATATCGTTCGAAAAGCACCACAGCGCATGATAAATATATACCATCGGTAACTTTGAAGAACTTGATAGTGCCGTTGCCGCTCACACACAGCGAATTTGAATCCGTGGGGCAGAAGTCCACTTGGCCGATGGAGCTGCCATACTGCGCCGCTGCCTTGAACGTCGTCACAACTTTGGCCTTTTCCCACGACCACAGCATGAGGTTCCACTCGGGGGCGCCGCCTTGGCCGACCAAGTACTTGCCATCACCCGAGAACGCCAGACTCACCTACGAGCCACATCGCTCGATGAGTGGTGCAGATCATCATTGGAAGGCGAGTACATAGGATTCCGAGCCCAAGTCCGAGTACACGAGCGGTTTCTTTCGTCGAAATGTTGTCAAGTCGTACATGTTGACCACACCCGCATCGCCCTTTTCGGCCATCGCCAAGTACCTAGAAGTTTGTTGCAACAAACATGACGATGTAGCCCCAATAATCAGGGATTCGTGGCCGTACTTTCGATTCGCAGACACGGCCATAGCCGTAAATCCGCCCGACGTGCCGCTTTCCATGCCGTGCAAGAACTGCTGCTCCTTGGTTTCGATGCTGTGGATGACCATGCAGTGGCCACACGGGTACACCACGACGTTCTCTTCGCAGAACGCAATGTTGTTCTTCACAGTGCCCTTTAAGCCATACATGTAGCGATGTGTCAGGATCGACGAGTTGGCTCCCGACATGGGGGAAGCAGTCATCGACAACCGCGACGCTACTGTACTGCTGTATGTATCCTCGACGACGACCTTTCTGGGGAAAAGTCTGTAACCGACCAAAGCTGTAACCGTCGTGTTTTCCGGACGAACAGGGTGCCCGAAAGTGCAAGCAACATGCACGGTCACGACGACGACGGCACGGCGTTGCAGACTGCGGCCAAGAAGATCCAAGGCATGTACCGTGTCCGCATGGCGCGCCGGCGGTTGCGGCAGCTGCTGAAGGCAGTCGTGGAGCGTTTTTACGACGAAGATTCGGGTAGTGACATGGTCCTTGTAGATGGTTGATGGCTTGCTGACGCCATTGATGTGGCGGGTTTAGGCATGTACTATTACTACAATGCCAAGACGGGCGAGAGTTCGTGGTTCAAACCTACATTGCTGGGCAGCGAAGATGCCAACCTTGCAGCCATGTACCACACAACTCCAGGTACAACATGCTTGTGTGTTCGATTGCATGAGGCCCACTGTGTCCTTTGCATAACCTTAACATGCAATCAACAGAAGTCGTCGAACAAGGTACAATATTAGAGACCTTGCTTGTGACGAATCGTATATCGCTCGATGAGGTTTCTAACCTGTGTATGGTAGAGTCAACGTCTGTCGATTCTATTGTCAGTCCCCAACAAGGTAACAATTCTAGGATGAGAACTTTTCAGCTCACGCAGCGCCACCAAACAGATCAATCGCTCGAAGTTGATAAAGCGGAGTCCCCAGAGAGTACGACGGGCAAAGTTGCCTTTCATGTTGCAGTCTATCACCTTATTGAAACTTGTAGCCACAGTGGTCTCGATCGAGCAGCCGGCCAACGAGTTGGTGATACAACCAGATAGCCGCATCGAGACACCGCAATTACCTTTAAGTCATGTGGACGAAGCAGAGCGTCCGCAGCCCAACGACACGCCCGAGCCGTTTTCGCCCGAGGAGCTAGCCCTCATCCACGAACAATTTCACAAGTTCGACAAAGATGGGAGCGGGTGTATCACTGCGGACGAAATGATGGCCATCATGCATGCCTTTGGGGACACATCGACTCTGGAAACCATTCAAGGTGCATGCATGTTCTTTGAATCGATTCCTTTCCATTCGTTTGAATTTGTTGTGGCTACATTGAATCCCAAACATTTTCTTCACGGTCGTGTAGCTTTGATCCACCTAGTGGACGGCGACGGCAACGGTGAAGTGAGCGTGGACGAGTTTGTGGCCATTCTAAAGATGCAGCGGGACAAGGATTCGCACTGTCCGTCCCTTCAACTTGCCATCATGTTTGGCCCCGATGAAATCTTGAACCTGAAACGGCAATTTCAGCAGGTACGACCAAGCGACAAGATGAAAAGTTACAAGCAAATCAATGGCTCCATAAAAAGATATTTCTTCTCTAAGAACTGCAACTTGCAACTCCAAAACAAGTGCACAATCAACCTAGTTATGGCTGGTAGTTGGACACGGACAACAGCGGCGAAATCGACGACCATGAACTGGCCACGTTGATCAAAAGTTTGGGCCAGGAAGTAACCCCTACCCAGCTCAAAGAGATCATTGACGAAGTCGATCGCAACAAGAATGGAACTATCGACTTCAATGAGGTTGAGTACGCTCCAACGATATATGATATATATATGATATATGATATATATATGATATATGATATATATATATACATATACTTAATGACTTGACCTTTTGATTATGTTTTCGCCCTAGTTTTGCCACATTGTATACAACATGCGCAACCCCAAACAGTCCCGTATGTATATATCTTGCGAAATACGAAACATATCACTACGACTAGGCTTTGCAACGCTATTACATTTGGGGGTGGCCAAGGGTCTGCTCAAGGACTTGGGCAGTGTCATGAACGCTACTGGCGCTCGAGTGTCAGCCTGGTGGTACGTCGCTATACTGACTGGTTCATTGTAACGTTATAACGATTCTATTCAAATATATATTTCTAAATCATATAACACTGTACGTTATATTAGGAATGCGGACAAGATTGCAGAAGAGCAACGATTAAAAGCGAAACGAGAGCGAGCGTTGGAGCGAGAGCGGTTGCTACGAGAACAGTATGTCAAACATGGAGTTGCTCGTTGCTCACGTAGTAACAAATCGCAGGGAAGAGCGGGAGAAACAGATATTCCAGGAAGAACTAGCGCGATTGGCAGCGGTGGAGAAGGCGCGGTGGGCAGTCGTTCCGGGCCTGCAACATGAAGTGCTGTTTGAAGGGTATTGTGGATTCGATACGAATTTCCAGACCCCTTCGAATCGAATCTCGCCACCGAATCAAATCACGAATCGACGCTATTGGCTAATCCATGTTTGAGTGGATTTGTTTGGCTCTTGTAGAAAGGACAAGTATATTTAACCAATCAGAACTCCAGCGTGATTCAATATTGATTAGACAAACCAGGCGAAATTTGGAAGTGTATAGCGAATTCACAATACTTGCCTGCACATATATCTCGCTAAGTTCTACCGTATTTGTCGTACTTTGCACAATGCAATTAAAATTATTATTTTTAAATATTTAAACATTCGAACTGTTTTCATTCATTTTAGATATAGTATTGAAATTTATATTTGTATTCGCGTTTTATTTTTCACGGTGCAGATCAACAACAAATACGGTAGTTACTAGTACTACGTAGTACAGTACTGTACTATTTAATATGTTTTCACCATAGCGTATACTAGGGACAAGGAAAACTACCCCAACAAAGGCCAGTATGCTCGAGTGCACTACACAGCAATGGTACTGTGAAATGAACCGGCTGTTTATCTATTTATTTATTTATTTTTACGATTTTACTGGTATGTATTAGTTTGAAAATGGCCACGTCTTTGAAGCGTCTCGAACTCGGGGCGGCGCGTTGGAGTTTAAAGTTGGCGCCGGACATGTGATTCAAGGTACCTTGAACAAGTGATTTTTACAACTATATATATATATATATCATTCAAGGTGTTATATCATTCAAGGTGTATATACTAGTAGTATACAGACAACGATGGATCCATGTATTGTGGCCAATCAGAGTAATGACAAATCAGTTGGTTTGATTTGTCATTGAAATCGAATTTCGAAGTATATAACGTAAAAAACCAATTTAAGATAACTTTTTTGGGGGGGTCGTAGTAGAATGGACATAACTTTTGAGTCCGTTACGATATTTGAGTTTTGAATAGTGATTCCAATAGGCAAGACCCGCCTCTTTGACTTCATAATCGAATTATCAGTTTAGGCGATGAAATTCACAGGTAAATTTGTTACTTTCTAAGCATTTGTACTCACAATTTGATAACCAATTTAGGATAACTTTTTTTATCTTAAAGTATGTATGTATCTGAGCATTGAAATTCTGTGTTTAGGGTAAGCGGTTACAACAGGTTGCATACAATTTATACAAAGGTACTGTTTTATAGAGTTAAATTTCTGTTGTGGATGGATGTCCACCGAGTTTAACACTCGACAAACCCTCAGATCCAACCCAATTGTGGCCCATGTCGACTAGAGTACTTCGAACCCAATCTTGAATGACTGTTACCGATGCTTCTAGGCCGTTTTGGCATTTCATTCACGTGACGGAATGGCCAGCATTATATGATAGAGCTTTTGACTCGAACAAATAACGAGGTGTGATTGGGCAATACAAAGTTATCCTAAATTGGTTAAGTTATCTTAAAATGGTTTTTTACGTTAGGATCAATCAGAGTTTAAATTTAGAATTTAGTGTAGCTTAAAATCCATCGTTGTCTGTATATATCAATCAACATAGAACAATAACCAAAAACCAAGCATATATATATAATCTCATTCGACAAGTTGACACAGGCTGGGACGTTGCTATTCCACGGATGAGTGTAGGCGAGACGGCCAAGATTACGTGTGCGCCAAATCTAGCGTACGGTGTTCGTGGTACGTCGCGGAAAGTACAGATTAATGTATATATATATATATATATATATATATATATATATATATATTGAAATGTACAACGAATGGTTAAACGAGTGTTGTCGAAAGTATGTACATAAATATATTCAACTCAAAGCTATATACACATATATATATATATTTAGGCCGACCGCCGAAAATCCCTCCCAATGCGACCCTAGTGTTCAAGGTGGAACTGATTGCCATCCACGAAAAGGTGCGCCTGGATCAAGGCGGCGACGACGACGACGACGACGAACGGATGTAGGACATGACGACGACTTTTATTTTGGTGGTTATTACATCAGGTTTTGACTCCAAAAGTGCAAAAACGCTTCTTCTTGCAACTTGGTCAAGTTGCCCATGTATTTGGACAAGGCAAACACATCGGACGATCCCTAACCTCATCATCACACACATCACATGTCGTCCAGAGCACAATATATATAAATATATATATATATATATATATATATATATTATACACGTACATAATGCAGGGCCGACTCGAACGAGGCTGAGATGCCGCCCGTGTTGCACAGCGGAAAGTCCGACACGGGGTAAAACACTACGTGGGAGCGTGGGGGTTGGGAAGGCTGATTATGTTGCGCAGGAGTCGGGTTTTGCTGTTCGTTGTAAAAGCCAAGCTAATAATTGTGAAATAAAAAAAGTGTCAGCGTCAATCTTGTATCGGAACAATATATATATACATATATTGTACCAGTTGATGGTACTGGTCGAACGCCGCCAAGCCCAACTTGTCGCCCTATCCAAGGTTTCAACATAAAACTACGTACATATATATCCAAAGCCGAGTATATATATATATATGTAGTACCCGCATGTCGGTGGCCATCGAGGCCAATATAAACGCAACACAGGGCGGTTGGGCATTGCTATTATTGGGATACCCTAACGTCGTCCCGTGGTTTCCACTGGCTTCGTTCGTGGGGGTCGTCGACGACGAAGTCCCAACTTGCTGGTGCATCATTTGCCAGTTATTGTTGTGAGTATGGTTGGCAGACTATACAAACAAGGGTACTTGTCAATATTGTCGATTTGATACAACTTTGGGGAGGGGGTGCAATCGAATCGTGCCGACCAAATCGATCCACAATCGATCTGATTGGTTGCATTGAGAAGTTTTTGATTGGTTAATAATTTTGAGCTCATCTGAAGTAGCCAATCAAATCGATTTAAATTCCAACGAGAAACCACAACACAATGAAATTTCACTCGAAAGCACAATAGTCGATTTGTGGATACTGCTCAAACAAATACGACCACCAAGTCGGCAGCCAATCGATAATTGACCAATCAAACCCCACAGCACAAATCAAGTAGCCAATCAAAGCATCTCTCTACGAGTGAACAACCCCCATACGTGGGCAAAGCAACAACACACAAGCTTTGTCACCAACATTCCGAGCAAACGACAATCGATCGATGACATACATTCCAATAGTTAGTGGAGAGGACAATAGCGACAACCAATACAACACGATATTGTATTGTCAAATCGATGATTCGAAACTGGAGAATCGAATAAGAGAATGGATTAAAGAACTGCCAAAGCCAATCAAATCATCACGTTCTAGTAAATTTCTGCCAATCCAAACGTTTGACTCGACTCTGTCCCTCCGCATGGGGCAAAGCCATATACTACATATACTACTCATTGTATCGTATAGTTTGTACAAGCTTAAATTGGATCAAATGGATTTGGTAAAATGACTCACAAGTCCAAATTTGGGTGAAATGCACACTATCATATCGTTTATTGTTGTGTGTTTATATTCTAAACTGGAGATGCGTTAACATGGAGAATAATGAATCGACACAAAGCAATGTACCCAAGATTCAGGATTTAGCCAATCCGATTGCAGGAAACTAAAATCATCCACATCAAATTAGTGTGTGACTTCAAGTAGTGTAATAATACCAATCGCCACAGGAGACCTTTTTACATGCAAAATTCAGTCAAAGGAATCGATCGATAGATTTGGCAAAGATTCCACACAAAAGGCAACCAAATGTTTTGAGTACAGCAATATCATCTTCGCACCATGTACATGTCCATCATGAGCATGGGTTTGGCCATGGCGTCTGTCATCATGGCCGGCGAGGATGACGTGGTCGCCGCTGCTTTTGTGGAGAGAAAGATGTTGTTGTCCGAGTGTTTGAGCGAGCTGTGGGGGGTAGGGGTCGTCGAATAATTGGTCGGAGTGGTTCCAGCATACCCAGGCCCTGCCGTCGCCGCCGCTGCCATCGATGTTTGAGATGCCGACGGCGTGTAGTTCCCATGAGTGTTATACCCGTACACCATCTACAACAGGGGATTATATATATATCCGTCATCCAAACGCAAACAAAATCCATTTAATTTGGACATACTTACGCGGGCGGCAGTGGTGGCCTGCGTAACGGGATGATGTTGTTGTCGAGGGGTGTTGGCTGGAAAGTTGCTCTGGTGTTGCTGCGGGAGTTGCAAGTACATGCAAGAAGGGGCGTGGCGCGTGGTGTTCTGGGGCGACATGTCTGTTAACGAGGCACAAGAGAGGCATCGATAGATGGGCGCTTGCTTGTTGATAGACCCATCTCCTTCGTGAATCTCATACCCCACCAGCTTCCATTCTTGCATTGCGTCCGTCCACGTCGAAGGTCGGGCTATTTATATATATATACATCATCATCATATATCGTCATCACGAGATATATATATATATATATAGATAGTCATTCTCAAACATGTATAGGGTATTTATTTTCATGCGACGACTACTAGTATATATATAAATATATATATTATATATATATGCATCGACTAGTATATATACAAATATGCATCGACAAAGGACAGACAGACCTCGGGGCAGATTGTGCGGCGTGGCAGTGGACGAATTGAACCGACGACTCATGGGGGTCTTGTCGGTAGTCGTGGGGGTCGCCGAGTGATGGGGCACCGGCGTCGGCAGCATGCGCGGGCGGTGGCTTCCGGACGAAGCAGCCGACGGAGATGGTTCAGATGCGAGGTTGGTGTTGTTACTGGGGGACTTGAGTCCAGCTATGGTGGGGAGGTTGTTGAAATTTCATCAGTATCCTTATATATATATATATATACGTTGATCTGTATCGAGCTTGTGTTCAGGGGAAAAAACAATGTAGAGTGGATAGAGGTGGAGGGAGTAAGGGATGCCAAGGGGGTAGGTAAATTTAGTATACAAAACATACTCGGATTCTGCAATAAATATATATATTATATATATAGATAGTATCATATTGCACCGAGCAAACAAGGCGCGTGAAAATATATACCCAACACACAATTCGTCGAATAATCCACGATGGGATGCAGAGTAGCCAATCAGGAACAAGCATGTTTAGATGGACCAATGGGAGCGAGCGCTTGGGGAACGATGAAAAATTCAATAATAACGTCACGAGAAAGAAAATATATATTTACGTATATATATATATATATATATATATATATAGGTACCTAGGCGTCGCTTGTTGCGCTTGGAACGGATGGCGACGGGGGCCGTGCGCACGCTGGCAATGTCGGCGTACACGTCGGACGATTCGGGTGCAATTTTCAGCACAAACGCGTGGTTTTGGTGGTTCTTGCTCACGTCTTCGATGCTACAAAAGAATACTATTAATATATATATATATATATATATATATATTGATAACAAACTATACCGAAACGAAATGCTCACGGTGCCATTGGTCACGTTCGGACGCAAGTCGGGGAAGAGCTTGAGAATGCCATGCGACGGTGACGTGGCGACGGCAGAGGCCTGCACGACGTCGCCGGAATCGTAGAGCAACGTTAGTTCCAACGGAATCTACGAAGTAGGTCATGAAGAAGGACATATGGAAGGGAGAGGACGCACAATGCGCGGCGACACGGTGCGGCCTGGCGCGGCCTCGACGTTCACTTGGATGGTCATGCATTTGTCCCGGCCGCCTTCGTCCTTGAACCAGACGTCGGGAGGTTGTTGGGTCACGACGAGCTTTTCCTAATGAGCATGAGTAGCATGAGCTTAGTATGATCATCATCACTTGGGAGCGAGAGAGAGAGAGGGAGTTTGTGTGTACTGTACCCGGACAATCGAGATGGCCGACGTCAAGACGGACACGATCGGGTGCGGATCCACGAGGGAACACCGCAAGCACATTTTCTGCATGACACGGGTGAGCGAGAAGCGAAAGGTGCACGTGGCGCCGACAAACACGAGTGGCGTCGATGAGTCCACGACCTGCATGTGTGCATCATGGCCATGATCAACGGGAATGAAGGTGGGGATGGTCGATGTATGTATGTAGTATACCAGTTGCGACGTCGATTCTTCGGTGAGCTTGGTGTCGGCATGGACGAGCGCGACTTGAAACGATACGGGCAGTCTACGTAACCAACACCGTCAGAAACCTTCCCATCATGACAGTGGAAGGAGGGGATGCATGCATGCACGGACCCGAGATCGTCGCCATGGTGCAGGCGCAACGTGCACTCGATGAACTCGTCGGGAAAAGCATGTGTTGGCAAGCGCCGTTCCACGGCCAGGCTTAGCTACGCATGGCTCGAGTTACAAAAAGATTTGTCGTGTGTCCATATGTTGGTCTCGTACCGGTCGCGACGACGTCGTCGGTGGTGCTGTGTCCCCGTCGATGCACGGCATGATCACGTTCGTGCGTCCTCCTTGAGGTGGTTTGATGGAGTGTCGGAAGTCGTGGATACAAAGTACGACACATATGGCATAAAGTTAGTCGTCAATTAACGTACGTTTAATGAAAAACGTTATCTCAGAGGGTAGGTTTTATCCAACCATAGCCACCCTTCGCGCCTTTCTTCAATCGATTTCGACCGTCTTTGACTAATTCAATCGAGTCCCATCGAGTACGAAGCAACGAAGCGCCATCCTTTGAGTGACGCGGCATGTTCAGTAGCAGCGTGATGGGTGCGCGTGGAGGTGATATTAATAAAACTGGTAGGTAAAACGTCATGCGTTATAAAGTACTACGTTGCTTCAGTAAAGGCGACTCTGGCACGGCTTTGGACCGAATGTTTTGGCGGAATTCGTTGGAAACTAATACATATTATTTCTTAGCATAAATTAATACACGACTAACCGACGACTTCAAACTGGCGCCGCACTACTGTATGTACACTAACTTACGGAGTAGTTAGTCTCTTGGGCGGACGACCATTTCCACTACACCAGGACATACAAGGCGGAAATAATGCGTTTGAAATGGCACGGGTACATATATATATATACCACTTTATGAGCGATATTTGAACGTTTCGGGGGTTCGGGCGGGGTTGCATCACTAAACACTATTAATACGTAGTATTATTAATAATAGTACTGTACACTATTATGTGTAATTGGACGTGTACATACTGTAAGTATTAATAGTAGTATTACTTGCAGACTCTTGAATTATTAATACAAGTATTATTGATAATACTTCCAAGTATTATCATTAATAATTCAACAGTCTGCAAGCACTTGGCGTTACTCCACGTGAGCATGCAGAGTGACTAATTTTCGCTACCAACGCCTGAGCAACTACAGTACAGGAATACTACCGGTATGTACCAGTGAAGTATAAGGACACACGAAAGCAATGGCTTGTGTTGACAAGAGCTGTCGTTGTATGTACAGGCTTGGCAAATCACGAAACAAAACGATGGAAGGAAGTGTAGATTGGGGATCAGATTACTAAAGATAATAGAATCGGTCTTGATGGGGGGAGGTGTCGACATCGCAATCGAAGCTACAGGGGCGAGAACCGCCAATCACAGGCAAATGAACACAAGCGGCGCTGTTGTGCGATGCACAAGCATTCACATACACAGCATGGCTTGACGGACATGTAGATATTTGCTATGTGCCATTCCAAAGGTGTCCAGGGGGTGGACTGTGGGGTTTCCGACCCTGGCACTTTCGCATCAATGGCGTTGCGTCGTAGTTGAGTGATCGCTGTACAAATAGCCTTTGTGAACCTTGCGGAAGTCTCTGTCAAGGCCACCATTTCATATTTGCATCCCTGATATAGGTACTCCCTTACAATGACCACGCGTACTGTTGCATGGTCATCAAGATTCTGGAGAACCACACGCCATAGCAGTCGCTCGCCAAAACGACTGGTGATCCAACCTCTTGCGAGGTCATGGTACTCGAAACCGTGCACCTTCCTGACGTCTGCACCTCGCACCGCCTCCCACTCCTAGTTGATCATCACATCCCCATGTGCTTCCTTTCGTTCGTCACCACAAAATATCGAATGGGGGAATCGTGGTGGTGGACCGGATACCACACCCGGTATCCGGATATTTCGCTGTGCCAAAATGACTTTCTTGTCGTCGTTCGTCATTCATTGAAGGAAGGCAGGCGAAGGACACTCACCGATGAGCAGCAGAGACGAGAAGCTCCCTCTCTTGGCCAAGTACTCCACCAGTGCTCTCGCCAAGGATGAGCTGACTCACGTCATCGCCATTTCCCTTCCGCTGGTACGCGCATGCATGTGTGCGTCGTGTCTTGGCCTCATCCTTTGTACGTAGATCGGGACGGCCATCCTCGAATACATCATGAACTGCATTAACGGCATGTACACGGGTCATTTGAGCGCCGAGGCGAGCGAGATCCACCTCCTTCTTGCTGCGAATGGCTTGTCATACTTGTTCTACGTTCTCTTCCTGTACAGTTTTGCGATTGGGGTCGGCACGGCGTTGGACGCGATGTGTGCCCAAGCGCACGGCCGCGGGGCCAAGGCCGAGATCATCGTGCTGCTTCAAACGGCCGTGCTTTGTAGTGCGGTGCTCATGGTGCCCATCTTTTTCACGTGCTACTTTGCCACGGACATCTTGCTGCTCCTTGGCCAAAACCCCGACGTACGCAACATCCCAACATCATCGTGCGTTCCATCTAATGCGTCCTCCGATGCTCCTAGGTGGCCGCTCTCACGGGGCGAGTGCTGTGGATCTTTATGTTTGGCCTGCCGTTTTGCTTTGGCTACGAGATCTTCAAGCGCGTGCTGCAAGCCCAAAACATCGTCCTGCCAGCGGTTTACGCCGGCGTGTGCGCCAACGTCACCAACTTGATCGTGGCCTACACGCTCATGTATCACACGTCATTGGTGGGTTGCTCCCATATTGTCTTTCGTCTACCCAAACTAGTTGGACTTTGTGTGGATTCGCTAAAAAAACTCTATTATTGTCGATTTGATACAAATTTGGGGAGGGGGTGCAATCGAATCGCGCCGACCAAACCGATCCACATTGGTTGAATTTCATTGAGAAGGTTTTGATTGGTTAATAATTTTGAGCTCATATGAAGTAGCCAATCAAATCGATTTAAATTCCAACGAGAAACCACGCCACAACACGAAATTTCACTCGAAAGCACAATATCAAGTCGTTCCTATTGTATGTTTGCAATCACACACTATTTAAAGTCATACACTAATTCGATGTGGAGCATGATTTCCTACAATCTCATTGGCTTTGACTTAGTAACGTTACATTGAGTTGGTTGTGTCGATGTATTCATTCTCGAGGTTGCTCTAGTTTATACACAACCATATCTATAATATATATATATATATATATATATATATGTCTCGTTGCATGTAAGTTCACAGTGTATGTGTGGTTTGTGTTAGGGCTACTTTGGGTCGGCGTATTCGTTTGTGGTCGTCACGTTCGTGTACTTTGTCGTATCGTTGTACTATGTGTTGAAAGCTACGAATGTCGAGTGGATCTTCCACTGGCATGTGCATGATGCCATCGTCCACTTGCCGTCGTTTCTGTTCTTGAGGTACATATATACTTTTGTATGTACATATATATATCGAATTTACGCGGCGACCTACTAACACATATATGTAGTGTGTTTGGCTGGTTTATGTTCATTTCCGAGTTTGCATCGGTGGCGCTCACGTCGATTCTCGCTGGTACGTACATTTCCATCCATTCGAATGTCTTCATATATATATACATAGTAGAAATGTACATGTATAGATAGAAAGATATTCGTCTATCCATACATATGTAAATAACATTATACATATCATTTTTATATATTGTATAATATATAAAGATACAATAATACTATTTTGAACTATATATATATATATCATCACGACCATCGTAGGGTTACTCCCCAGTGCCAACTTGGCGATTGCGTCCAACTCGATCTTTATGGGGTTCCGTCAAGTGTTTTTCATGGTGTACATGGGTCTTGGTGTGGCCAGGTACACTATCTATCTATATATATATATATATACACCATATCTCGTCGAAACAACGCAATATATAAATATGTTTCTAGCCCTGACATATCTTTGTTTTCATATAGTTCTGTTCGTGTGGGGAATGCCCTCGGCGCCAACAATCCGCATCGGGCCAAAGTCGCGGCGGTTCAATCTGTCGGGCTGTCCTGTGCGTGGGCGTTGTTCACATCCGTGCTTATGTTTGCCGTGCAGCATGTATTTCCCCACGCGTATACCAGTGATCCAGCTACGTTGGCGTACGTCCTCTTATATTTTTCTACATGTTAAGCACAGTTGTTGGTAGGCTCACGGCCCAATTGATGGCCGTGAACGCGCCGTTCCAGATTGCGTTTGCGATTTGGATGGTGATGCTGGGGGTGTTTCGAGGCAGCGCGAGGCCCCATGAAGGCGCGCTGTGGAATGTGCTAGCCATTTTGGTCGTGGGGGTGCCCATGGGATGGATGCTCGCGTCTACGTACGAGTATGGCATAGTCGGCATTTGGCTCGGAGTGTCGTTCGGGTACGTCCTCTGCGCCATCTTCGGGCTGTACTGGCTGGCTACGGTGGACTGGGTGGCCATGGCAAGTGAAGCCAGTGCGCGGTTGATCGTGTCGCCATCAATGGACGACAAGGACCTGCCTTAACCAGGCTGACTAACTACTACAGCAGGTGCTGTCTATGGAAGTACATCTGTAGAGCGATCTATCTATCGATAGTTGTAAACGGGTACTACAGCATACTTGTTTTGGAAGTTGCATAGATCCATATCGAATGTCACAGGGACGCGCTTCGATAGGTAGAGACATACTAGTCACAACCGAAATTAACATTGGAGCTTGTACTAGTAGTACTACGTGGTGGTAGTAGTAGTAGTATTTACTCGGAGTTTTTTTTACATTGAAAGTGTCAGTGTTGGTCTTCATTTTCCAATATATTTCATTTTCCAATACTAGTAGTAGTACTAGTATAGATCAACGCCTTCGATGCTGCTTTTGATAGGGCGAATCGTTTTCATGGTCCTTTCATATCAACTCTATGGAATGATTTATACTATTTCCGAGTTATTATATTCACATGTGAACCGTTGATAGAAGTATGATTTAATATGACCATCGAGAGTTAGTTACTGTTCAACGACAAGTACTACGAACAAAGAGATGCCGTGGTTGTGTTATATCATGAGCCAGTGCTACTAGTATTTTGCTGAGGCATAAGCGGCTGGGTCGGGTACACCAACACGACATTGTCCCCTCGGATGAGGAGCTGCCTTATATGCCGCGTCACCGTCGGCGCTTCTTGCTGTTGGGCGTGGACTGGGGCGAACTTGTCCATGACGTCCATGAGCACCAGGTTCATGTGTTTGTCGAACCCTTTCAGGTATCCCGTACATGTGCCACGTATGCTGCTGATGCGCCGCAGAACCACCACGACCCTGGCTTTGGCTACCAAGCACCGATGAAGAAGGCTCAGTGGCCCCGTCGAGTGCAAATCTAATATATCATGGTATCATACGTCCACTACTACTACACTCTATATAGATGGACGACATCAAGGGTCGGCTTGTACCTGCGATGGCGTGCAAGACGGGGGGTTTCTTTGGAGCCACCGTGCTTTTCGATTTCCTGTCGGTTGTTACAGACGGTGTCGCAGGTTTGACTTTGGGCTGGATGAACTGCGGGTCCCGAGGTGGTAACTACGTCATGGTGACGAACATGATCACGACGAGTAGTGGACGAACCAGCATGCGGCACTTGTACAAGTTGTCCAGCGCGGGGTGATGGAGGGAAGCGCCGTCCAGCCGATTTCGCACTAGCGCCAAGTGGGCGTTGAATGACGCGCTTCGGCAGTCGAACGGTCCGCCTCTCGACGGAGGTGCAGTCTTTGGCACAAAGTTTGGATCATATGATGCTGCTGCCGATAGCTCATTGTCCTCCTTTGCCACCTACAAGGGCGGTCAGTGTGCACATCGAGTGGGCTTGAGATCGCTTACGATGTCCGGCGAGCACCCGTACTTCTTGTGCAGCTTGGCACACAGCACGTCCTCGCGCCCGGCAAACACTCGCAAGATCTCTGGTCTGCATCATCGCATGTACGTTAGAAGATGGCGACACATGTATCACTTGCATGTTTTTCACATTCTCGGGGTTGTGCGACTCGTAGAAGGCCACGATGCGGTCGCGCTGCCACGCCTCCATCTATCGAATGCCGCGTCGTTTTGGTTAAAACGCGACGAATTCTATTTTTTAAATATGTTATCAAACGTTTTGAATCCTGTTTGAAACAAAATTTAAAATACGAGCATTGTACTACACTCTTCTACGTAGTAGTGTGTAAGACCAAATAAAATAAAAATATTCGTCCAAGTGTTTGAAACGTTTTAAATGCGACATTGCCCACGTTTCAAATACTAGTAGTGTCCTTTACCCAAAAGTTGGACTTTTGTGCTAATTCGCCAAATCTATCGATCGTTGTCCTGACTTAGATCGGTCCAGTATCACACTAATTTAAGTCACACACTAATTCCATGTTGAATTCCTCGAAGAGTGGTTTGATTGGCCACTTGTTGAGTGTTCTGGGTTTTGATTGGTCGGTCGATTGTGTGCCGATTTGGTACTGCTCATTCTCGAATTTCGAATCGACTTGGCAATATTATAATAACGTTACTGCGAAGTATGCAAACAAGGTGGTTCATCCAGAACGTCTTAACAGCAGCCGTTCTTTTTCTTCTTCTCCGCGGGAGCATGCAAGTCCACTGCGGCGGCAGTTGGTTTCTCGTCGGGGTTGGCATTGCGAGCCTTGTCTTGGTTGTACACCTCTATCACCCATAAACCACCATAGCATTAGCAAGCAGTGCCGCTAGATGTCGAAATGTTACCAATCACGAGCTTCTCGAACGCTTCGACGACGTTTTGGCCAGTCTTGGCCGAGGCACGGATGTCCAGGATGCCATCGGCAGCCAACACGGCGGACTCGTGGTCGTCTGAAGTCACCTCGGCCGGGTCCAAGTCGACTTTGTTGCCCACGAGCATCAAGCACGACAAGAGGGTGCTGTTCGTGTCGGCCGAATTGCGCAGTTCCTGCAACACACACTGTGATAAAATGGAACAAATATAGGACACACACCTTGAGCCAATGGCCTTGCGCATTGTCAAAGCTCGTGCGGCTGGTCACATCGTACACAATCAACGCCCCCGCCGCCCGACGATAATGCCTAGACATGTCCATGATTCACCGCACGGAAGTGTAGTTGGACGTACGAGCTCGTGATGGCGCGGTAGCGTTCCTGTCCGGCCGTGTCCCAGATTTGTGCCTTGATGCGCTTCCCATTGGGATGGGTGATAATCTTGGTGCCAAACTCCACGCCGATCGTCGGCTTCCGCACATTACTACAAGTCATGTTCGCTAGTACTATGACGGATGAACGGCGCGAGATGACGACGCACCTGAAGATCTTGGACGCGTTGGTCGACGAGTCGATGGCCATTTCATCTTCCGACGCAGTGAAGTACGCGAGGAGGTTGGTCTTGCCGACGCCTGGGTCCCCCACAAGCACCACTATGTGGTCGATGAGGCATCAGCATCTTATGGACCAAACGTACCTTTGTAAAGTTCGTCGTATTGTTGATCAGGGGGCGCGGACATGTCGGCAAAGCGGTTGGAAGAATGCAAAATGGGAGGACAAAGCCAGTAAGGAATTTCCAGTTTTCCACACCAACATGATGGCCAAATTTGGGAAAATTCTTCATTCTGACTTTTTTTGGCTCAACTTTGTAAGGCACATTCCTTTAAATATGGTCGTTCAACAGGCTTGATTTACGTCTGCTTTGCAGTACAGTATCTGATTTACTTATTCGACATTGCTGTAGTTGTCCGGATAACGTTAGTTGCGTTTGCAATTCCAGTTTGTTAACCCCAGGGTAAGAGCATCCCCACCGGCTGATGTAGAAATGTAAAAATCTTCAAAGTACATCACTACATGTAAAAATCTTCAAAGTACATCACTACTGTACATCAGCAAAATTTACATTTTTCAGACCCACACTGGTTGCCAATAAATTTTACATCATGATGTAAACGCTCCATAAACACAGATTTCTCAACAGATCTGTTGGCTCGTTTACAGTTCTACGATGGAGGACCCGATGGCGTTCATCAACGAAGTGAGCAATCCCGACGTGTTAGAGCAGGCCATCAGCATGTATATCCGCTCCAAACGCCGACAATCCCAAGATGATACCGTCGTACGTGGTGGTTCGCGGCCGGGCAAGCGCCCTAACATCAATCGCCAGCGTGAGTTCTACGCCCGTTTGCTTCACCAGGACTACTGGGGACCATTGCCCATCTACGACACCGAGCACTTCCGTCGCAACTTCAAACTTCCGATAGACTTGTTCGACAAGATCATGGCGGACATCACGAACCACGACGAATACTTCCAGTTAAGGCTTCAGTTATCTGTAAGATTAGTGTACTGTACTTCGAATTATTTATGTGGATTTCAAATTTCCGTGATAGTACCGTACTAGTATACTAGTATATCATGCGTCATCCCAACATTAATATTAGGTCATATCCTAATTAGTAGAGATGAGAGTAAATTAGGATAATGCTAGGTCATTGCGTACAGGCCTCGTGCGGGTGCGGCACGGCCTACCTGCCGCTGCCCGACAAGAAGAAAAGATAGATCATTCGGTAAAGTGAGAAGCTTAGATCCGCGCTCTTACGGCCGCGCTTGCGCAGACGGCCTCCCGGGCGCTCGGGGCCAACGTAAGGCTTGGTCACTACTTTAGGGCCTGGTCTGCGAATGAAATGCTTCATGTCTCTGTCTGCCTTTTATTGAAGAAAACAATTTCATTGGTGCTTATATCCGAAAACCGGATATTGTCCTTGCGTGGAAGTGACCTACGAGGCAGAGATTCACCATCCACGCCTGGGAACGCCGTTCGTGTTTCGAGTGGTGCACACAAGCACGCCAACAACGGTGAAGTGAATGGAGGAGGCTACGCCTGATGAACCCCCCCTGCCATCGCAGGTACATGTCGTAGTGTGCTTGACCCTGTACCCTACGACTGTGTGGTAGCAAGCGAACCAAAACCATTGCCCAAGGGAAAGCGCTCCCGGAAGCAGCCCCCACGTCCGACACTGTGGTGCGACCAAAGTGTTGAAGCAATGTTCAAGCTGCGGTACAAGTCTGCTTTGGCTAGCCGATTTGACTCCAAGAACAACTACGGCAAGCGTGTAGCGTACGTCATGCTGGCGACCGAACTTAGCGTCGTCATGCAGCGCGAATTTACAGCCAAGCAAGTGCAAGACAAGGTGCGTTCGACATGACCATTTATTAGGTTTATCATGTGATTGTTTTAGCTGGCCAACATGAAGACAGAATGGTCTCTCTCCAAGCCAACGTTGCCTGCTCCGACTGGGAACTCTCCCCGGGCCCTTCTGCCCCTGCATTACGACGTAATGCTTGATTATTGGGGGGAAAAGGCTGGCTTCCGAAGGGAGTCGCTTATCAGCACTGATGATACCAGTGATGAAGAAATTTCAACGGACAAAAATGGGTATTATTAATACGACAGATTTATTTGCATTTTGGGTAGTTTAATCTGCGTCTATTTCTCCTGTATACAACAATCCCGACAATGCCCCTCTCGGCGATGACGAAAGGTATGCTGGCGAGGAGGCTGAGCAGCCAGAGCAAAAAAAATAAAGACGAATGGGAAATCAAAAAAGACCAAGTCACCATCAGAGTCCCTGGAAGCTGGATTTACTGCCATCAAGGAGGTATTAATGTTTTTGGGGTCTGCGATGGCTCAACAAACACCATCCCATCAACAAACACCTTCCCATCAAGTCGTGGCAGCTGCGCCAACTCCTGCCACCCAGACGAGCTCTGTGGCTACTCTCGACGACGTTTTGAGTGCCATAAAGGCTCAATCAGACACCATGTCCCAGCTCCTGTCGCACCTCATTGCCAAAAAGGATTAATAAATGTAAATCATTTGCAATGTCCATTATTGATAAACAAATTTAGCCATGGTACTAAGCTTGGCAAGGGCGCTATTCCGATATTCCGAGTTTGTTTCTACGTCAGCAATATCGAGCGGTTGAACGTGGTCGTTTCGATCGCGGCGATGGCACGGAGTGTTGAAGAGGCCATCGTTGAATTGCAGAAGCATGTTGTGCAGGACGAAGCAAGCAGTGACGATGGACACGGTGCGGGCGAGTGACTTCTCGTTCATGACAGTC